TGTGTGTGTGTGTGTGTGTGTGTGTGTGTGTGTGTGTGTGTGTGTGTACAGAAGCCAGAGAATAACTTACAGGAATTGGGAATTGGTTCTTCCCTTCTACCATGTGGGCCTGGGGAATAGAACTCCAGTTCTCAGTCTTGACAGCAAGTGCCTTTTATCTGCTGAGCCATCTCATGGGCCCCTGCCACTTCCAAACGTGTGTATGAACTGAGTAAACTCTCAGGCCGCAAGCCTTGGAAGAGATGGGTGAATGTCCCCTTGGACATTTTATTTGTCCTTGGCTGCAGGTAATGCCAATGTCTAGGAAGAATGGGCCCTTTGAAAGGCATGAGGAAAGAGGCTTACCAAGAACTCTACTGCTCCCTAGCTTGGTCCAGGCTCTGCCTCAGCCTTGCTAGGAACCCATTCCACATAAGCCATGTTTGCCAGATCTCAGGAAAGAGTGGCAGCAAGCTGTATTATTACTCTAATCATGCAGTACAAGCCCGTGCTCTGGGTTCAGGGCAGGCTGTTACATTCTGGGTCTGTGGTTTCCAATGGACTCCCTCTCGAGTGCCCAGGTGGTAGGGAAGGTTGTTCACCTTGCAGCTCCCACAGAGCCTCACTGCCGGGACTGCGAGACTGCCAGCAGCCTTTAAGTCACTAGGAACCATCCCGCTGTATAAGCTTCATCCTGCATTGTGGCTCACACCCTTCTCCCAGAGTCGTGTAGTCCTGAAGGACCCAGGGAGGCGGGAAACTCTCAGGAGCGCCTACAAGGAAGAAAGGCTCCCCCGACACTCTTGCCAGTTTCCAGATTTCAGTGAGCCACCTCTGTGCTTGTTCCCCGATTCAGCTGGCGATTCTTGTTCTTCCTCCCCTGAGCCCCTCTTTCCTGGCTTCTCCTCATTTCTCATCCTTTCATCAAAGGCTTCCCTCCCTACCATCCTTCTGCTGCTCTCCTCTTTCTCTCCTTCTCCGAACAACTGTTCAACAATCCTCTCCCAGCATCTTCCCCAGATAATTTCACATGCCACCTGCTGCCTGGGATTCTTTACAACAGGCAAGGAGGTTCCCCAGAGGCCCGACGATGATCCACAGAGAATCAAAAGAGCAGAACTGGAAGACTGTAAGGACCCAAAGACTCTGAGGAATGAAAGCTGGGTCAGAAGTCACCCACTTCCAGGATGAGATGGAGGAAATGCAGTGAAACAATTGGGGCTTGACCCACGTTCACACGGAAATGAACAGAAGGCTGTCCTCTAAGGGAGGCAGCAGTGGTCACCTTCTTCTTCCTCTACAGATACCAACATCAGCCACATGCTCCTGTCCTGCTGAGTCCATTAAAACCCTCTACCAGGCCTGACTGTGTCCCTTAGGTCTGAATAGCAGCCTCAGGTTTTACACAGCTGTGGCTAGCCTGTTGTTGGCCTGGGGCTTACCAGGGCTCCTCAGGTGACAAAGAGTCATGAAACCTTATTTTTCTGTACTATCGACTACTCCAACTATGTTGGAATAGTTACTGCTCCTCCTTCAAGTTTCCCTGTATCTGAAACAATTCTGGTGGACAGAAGGTGTAGCTCACTGGTAGGGTACCCTTTCAAGTACGAGATCTGTGGGAGGCCCTGGTTCCTAGCATTAAGAAAAAAACAAGACAATTAAATGAAAGTTTAAAACTAAAACATAAAGACCCCTGATTCTCATGCTCATTCCATTTTCTCCATCAGTCCCAAGACCCAAGCTGGTACTGGCATAAAAGACCTGTGTTACTGTGGCTGTTCTGGTCCCACAGAGGGGATAGAGGAAACGGGTCCTGGAAATCGGGCTGCATGAGGCCCTAGGGTGCTGCCTTCAGCAGCTTGACCCAAGTAGCCTCCTACCAAGTGGAGAATGTCTCCCCAGGACACAAGTGCCACTGGCTTTTAACCATAATATCAGGATAATTAAGCTTTTCTGTGAGCACAGTTTGCTGCTGATGCAGCTGCCTGGAGCCCTGGCATTTATTGAGCGCAAAGTAATAATTTATTGTCCTTTGTACGCTCAAAAGCCGTCTTCATTATCGGCCCAGGATGGAGCTGCCACAAGGGCAGACTGGCTCACCAGCTGCCTCGCTGGTGTGCCTCTTCCCAGGTCGCCCTCGCCCTCCGAGCTCTCAGGTACCAGGATGGGGCGGAGAGAGAGGTGAGAAGAGGGGTTGTTCTCTCTAACGAAGAAGAATCCGATTAGAACACCACACCTTTGTAGGCTGCTAACCCGGGAGAGGGTGACAAGCTTGGCTGGGTGTGGGCAGCTCGGGAAGGCGGGGGGCGGGGGGGAGGTTGTGTGCCACGTTGGCAGGGCAGTCCTTTCTCCAGGGCTGGCGGTGGCTTTGAAAGCCTGTGCTCTTGCCTCTGGGTCGTCTGCGCCTTTGCTTGAGACTTTACGGTAAGCCGCTCCTCCCGCGCCCCCGCCCCCAGCCCCGCGCGGCGATCCCCGGCGCCGACGCCAGGCGCTGGCCGTGGTGCTGATTCTGTCAGGCGCTGGCGGCGGCGGCGGCGGCCCCGCGGCTCTCTCCGGGACCGGCTCTGCCCCCCCTGCGCCCACGCCTCTCCGAGTCCCCGGTCCCCCAGCCGCGGCCCCGATCCGGGGCGCGGCCGCCAGCGGCACCATGCGCCTAGCAGCCCTGCTGCTCCTGCCCTCGCTGCTGGCGCTCCCGGCTCACGGTAAGGGACCCGAGCGTCCGGCCACCGGACGGGGGCGGGCGCCCACCCCCAGGGGCGGGGGAGCGGGACCCTCCCGGCGCCTCGCTCCGCGCGTCCCGCCGTCTCCCCCGAGCACCGCGTCCCGCCGGCTGCGCTGTCCCCGGCGCCGACCCAGCCGGGCGGGGCGCGGGCTCCCCGGGCGGGAAGCGGCCGCGGCTCCCGCCGTCCGCGCCCGGCCGAGACCTCGCCTTTAATCATCTCCCCGGATCTAATGGGATTTCTCTGCTGCAATTCATCACGCCACCCCCTCCCCGCACACACGCGCTCGCCCGCGCGCTGCCTCGCTCCTCTCCGGGCGTCTAGGGGCGCCCGGGCGCCTCGCGGGGGGGCGGGGAGAGGGCGCGGGCGCGGAGTCCGGACAGTCCAACCCGCAGCCCGCCGCTTCGCCTTCCCCGCCGCTCTCCAAACTTCGCTCGACTTTGCCGCGTATTCTGGGGCCCCTCGCAACCTCACTGCAGACGAACCGGGTCGGGAGGTGGCGGGACCCTGGACCCGGACGTCTCTCACCTCTCTCTGTCTTGTCAGAATCCGAACCTAGAGCACAATTCTTGGGGAGACATTCGGGGACCCCGGGAGCCCTCCAGGCTCGCCCTTCTCTGGGCTGCAGCAACTGATGTCCTGGGACTGACTGCCCTCCCCGGAATTCTTTTCTTGCACACACACACACACACACACACACACACACACACACGCACACACGCACACACGCCCACACGCACACGCCCGGAGCGCTGCCTCCCTCCGGGTCTACCTTTCTGTCCGGTCCTATCGACCCCGGAGCTGCAGGCTGACTGGCGGAGCTCAGCTCTTGCCCCAGCTCCAGAACGCCAGGTCCCAACTCATTGGTCTCGGTCAAGAAAAGCTTGGCCTTGGAGAAGGCGGCAGGGGAGTTTGGAGGAAAGATGAGTGGGGAAGCAGGAAGGATGCAAGCCCAACCTGAAGCAGGCGGTCTCGGAGTCTATAAATGCTCAGGTCATTCTCTGACTTTTACTGGCCGCCTGGTGGGGTCCGCGAAATCGCACTTGGACTTGAGACTCGAAGTCCCTCCCCATATGGTTATAGTTCCTAGTGTCTGCTGTGGACGAGGGAGGAAGGCGAGTTTGTAACCTTCGGGCTCCATCTTCCTAGGACTAGAGTTTGGAGGTCAGATCAGCCAGGCTAGGGCTGTTTGGGGCCGGGCTGGCACCAAGCAGCTGTTCTCCTGCCCAGATGGCATGAGAGCACATCTTTGAACCTCTAGCTCTACCCACGAGTAGACCATGTCTTTGCACAGCCCACCTGGCTGCCCACGCTGGCTCCTCCTAGGGCTAGGAAAAACTTGGAATTGTGTGTTCACCTTGCTGGAAGGAGGAAGAAATTTCACAAGCCCCACTCCAGCGAGGGGAAGGGATGAAAAGAAATCCATCTCCTGGGCCAGCAATCTAAAGACATCTCTCTGCATTTCAGGGCTTTGTATGGGGTCTGGCTACTATTCTGGCTCCTTCCCTGGAGCAGAGTTTGTGTCTCTTTCCTGGTGATGGGAGTCCTTCCTTGTCTGAGGGTGTGATCTGGGCTCTGCAGTTCCCAGAATGTCTGCACTTCAGGAGCCCTGAGTGTTGGGGTGACAATTCCTCAGTGCGGGTGTAGCCTCCGCCAGCCAGGGTGTAGTCTCGTGCATGTTGGAGAGAGACCACAGGTCTCCAGGAAGAAAGCTGCTATGGCTGCCAGTTCAGCCCAGGCTGGAGGTGTGGAGGCTCGTGCTGGGAGGAATTTACCCACTCTGGCTAGAAGTCTCTGTCCCCAGCCAGCGTCCCTCTGTGATTCATTAGATTCTCCGGTGCTGTGGGGTTGCCTTTCTATGGGTGTTATAGGTAGAAGGAGAGCATTTGGAAACAGGGGCAGGCCTGGCGTGTGAGAAAGCCTGGACCTAGAGCTGGGTGGTCAGGAGGCTCCTACCTCTTCACCATAAACGGAAAGTTAGTCATTAGGGCTCTGAGGCCTCTCCTTTGGGAGGGAGCTCACCTGGCCACCTGGGGTTCCTGGACTGTAGTAAGCGAGTGATTTGAGAAGTAAAGGCCTTAGGCTGTATGTCTTTCAGCCAGAGGACGCACCCCTGCAGCCTGGTAGCCCAGGAGACCTCAGAGCTCTGCTCACAAAAGGGACTCGGGATGCAGTCAGCCGCAGTCTAAACCTTCAACCTTCAGTAGTACAAGGGAGGCAGAGGCCCTGAACCCCAAGGAGACAGATGGATGATGCCCCGCCCCGTGGGCTCAATTCCCTCTTTCTTTTGCAGCCTCTTAGATGTAATTGGTTCCAGGTATGACAGGCATCACAGACTATGGGGCATTCTCCAACCCACGGGAAGTGCCAGGGAAGTCTTGCCACAGTGGGGGAGAAGACAGTTCGTGGGAGCTGTGCCTGCCTAGGCCTGCTGTGTCAGTTTAATGATTTTTAATGAGCAATTACCTTTAGTCATTCTCTTAATTTCTGAATATCAATAAAGTTAATTAAACTCTGCGTGTGCGAGTGTGGCCTGGGGAGATTGTGAAGGTAAAAGCAGCCAGGACTGGGGTGGGATTAGGTCTCGAAGTTTAGAAGCTACCTTGGTACTTATGTGACCTTGGACCCAGGGCTCCATCTCATCTCTCTAAGCTCTCTTGAGGGCGTGGTAAATAAAAAATGGGGGAGGACCAGAAACAGCAGAAACAGCAAGCCTCAGTTGCTTATTATGCCAGAAACTGGGGTGTAGTGGGGAGGGGGAGGATTTGGCTATCAGGATCCTCAACTGCTGCAAGGGTTAACTGGGGGACTGACTTAACCTAAAATGCTAATCGGTGCTTGGAGGTGGAGCTCCGGTTGTGCTGGCCTCTGAGGGCTTGCCGCTGAGTCCAGGGGCCAAACCCGGATCTTTCTCACTCCCCGCTTTGTAGCCTGGCTCTTCAGGATCAGGACTCTCGCTGGGGATAAGGTTCTGTGGAAGATAGCTTGGGTTCTGCTCAGAGCCCCAGAGGTGGAGGTGGCAAGCGGGGAACCCCTGCTGGGTTTCTGAGGAGACCGTCCAGAGCTGAAGAGAAGTCGGAGTTGGCTTTTTGCCCCTCACGGGCCTGAGCGAATCAAGCTTGGCAGGCCCTGGCGGCTATCCCAGTCTCCTCAGCAGGGTGGCCGCTTAAAATGCCTTGGGGGTGCAGTGGGGCACTAATGGGGAGCAAAAAGACAATGGGACTGGGCTTAATTAGAAACTGAGCTTCCGTGCCCCTCCGTGGTGCCTGACAGAGGCGCCTGTCAAAAAGGCTACCTCCTTACCCTGTCTCTCGCACAGTCCCAGGCACTCCTGCGCCCTCCAGTCCTTCTCTCCACCTCTCCTAGACCCAGCCAAGCCCTTCTGCCAGATAGGTCTCAGCTCAGGGACCCTGTACCCACACACACATTGGGCAGACTCTCAGCGTTCATTATTCTACCCTCCAACCTCCATGGACAGAAATGAGAACAATAGGTGTAACTTCAGTAAAGGAAGCTATCAGCCCAGATGGTGAAGAGCTCAGCCCACCATGTCTTTGGCTTCGCTAGACCTCCACTCTCTGGAGGTCTTGGTTATAAAGGTGCGTGAAACTCACCACCGGCTGCCAACCTTAGATTTTCACCTGTGAGGGGCTGAGCTCTATAAACAAGAGTCACCTAGAAGAGGAAAAAAGTTGCCAGCCCTAGTCCACAGCCAGGAGGTAGAAAGCAGGTGCTATGAAGTCCCCAAAGCCAGTTCCAACAGGGAGCAACATCATTCCGGAAAGATGACTAATCCAGGCAGGTCAAAGGAATCTCGGCATCAATTTTTCAGCTGATGTTCTCAATGGCTTTTGGGCTCTCGATGTTCCTTCCACCTGTTTTTGTTCGGTTGGTTTTTTTCCCCTCCTTCTCAGTTCCCCCTGGTTATTCTACTTTATGCTTCAAGTATGCCTTGACTGGCACTTGAGTAACTGGCAAGAGGCATCTGCTCTATGGCCTGTCTTCCAGCCTGGTCAGAGGACTCATGCACGCCCCACTGCCTGTTTGGTCCCCCATCTGGTCCCCAGACTGTGGGATCAGGAGCCTTTGCCTGGTTGCTTGAAGCAACAACCCAGAAAAGAGGACAGTACGTTTGTCTTGCTTACCCCCATATCTTTGGCAACTCCAGAATGCCTATTTAGGAAAAACTGAGGGGTCAGCTGCCTGGTTAGAATGGAATGATGGGGCCCGGGCAGCTGGGACTGAATCTCAAAGCTGAGTTTGCGTAGCAAGCACACTATTTTTATATAGATTGTATGTTGAGATTTTTTTCCCCCTTTCCTAACAGTTGGCCAATTATTCTGCCTGTAAATTACAGCCTTTACTTAGTTTTTTTTTTTCCTTCTACAAATTAAGCTGTCATGCCATCAGCCTTAGGTGCTTTGGGGGTGAGGGGTGCTGGTGGCCATTCTTAATATGGTAAAGCTTTTTCTCAGTCATCCCTTAGTGCCACCACAGCTTGTGTCCCCAGTGGCCCAGGGCCTAGCATGTGGCACACATTAAATGCATGTTAAGAAATTTGTAAGAATTGCACGGGTAGAAATCAGCACAGGAGAGCGCAGGGCCCAGCCTTCCAGATCCTCTCCTACAGCTCATGTCTGGCTGAGATGGAAGCATTATAGGAAATTAACGACTAAAGCTCTGGAGTGCGCTCATCCGTTCAAGCTTCAGAAACCATCACCACACGGTCTGGAGAGACCAATATGGAGCTCTGAGATCAGATATGCCCTTGAATAGGGCAGTGAATGCCTAAGAAGAATCTAGAGAGCAACGCAGGTCCACGAACCTTTCTTGCTCCTACAGAAAGCAAGTGTTGGGGTACAGCCATCTAACAATTCAGTGCATAATTCATTTGCTCATTGAACAAACATGGTTTGAAGTGGGAGGGCAGGCCCAGAGAACACCCTTAGCCACAGAGAGCAAGGCTTCACTTATCAAGCATT